TGTCTCCTTTACACTCCCACTTGAGATAATCCCGAGTTAAATATGCTATGTGTTATCTTGGATTTACTTTTTAAAACCCACTATTACATTTCTAAGAATTATCCAATTTTGTTTTAGGTGGCTATAGTTCATTTGTCTTGATAGCTACGTAATATTCCATTGTATCCATATATCACAATTTATCCATTCTCCTGTTAGGGGGTATTGGACATGTTGCCATGTTTTTGCTACAACTAACAGTACTGTTCTGACCATCCCTATACATAATATCCTGGTATAGATGTTACTTTTATGTATATAATGCAACATAGTGGAACTATTTACTATAAAGCATGCGTTTGGTGAAAGCTTTGGCTTTGTTTGTTTCTCTTACCTTACTTTTTATGCCCTTCCCTACCTTTTCTTCCCCTACAGTGCTTATGAGGTGATCAAACTGAAAGGCTACACATCCTGGGCCATTGGACTGTCTGTGGCAGATCTGGCAGAAAGTATAATGAAGAATCTTAGGCGTGTGCATCCGATTTCCACCATGATTAAGGTAGGTCTAGTGTTACACTGTATTTGAATGCTTCGCTCCCTGGTTTTTTAAAAAAGATTCTTCTAAGAAAGCAATTAGATTAATGTAATTCCTCAGTCAGTAAATTAATCAATAAATTAATGTGCCCACAACTTTCATTTTTAGAAGGAAATGGTTGAGGTTCAGGAATAATGTCCACTTGGACTGTTCAGCACATAGATACTTGATAACTTGACTAAAAAGCTCTAATTCAATTATGTTGAGGTAGGTAGAGGACTATAAAAGAAATGGATTATTTTCCACAACTTAGAGTTATTGTTGCTATTTTATTGACTTTCTTTTATACTATTCATTACATCATAACTGAACATATGGAAAGGCATTTCTACTTACCAAGTTGTATTAAATAAGCTTCATAATTGTAGAGAATGAAAGTCTTGGGAGGCCCTGAAATGCATAGACAAAATGTAAAATTTTTTTTTTTGTCTTCAGGGTCTCTATGGAATAAAGGATGATGTCTTCCTTAGTGTTCCTTGCATCTTGGGACAGAATGGAATCTCAGACGTTGTGAAGGTGACTCTGACTGCTGAGGAAGAGGCCCGTTTGAAGAAGAGTGCAGATACACTTTGGGGGATCCAAAAAGAGCTGCAATTTTAAAATCTTCTAATGTCACACCACTTCACTGTCTAGGCTACAACAGGATTTTAGTTGGAGGTTATGCATGTTGTCCTTTTTATCTGATCTGTGGTTAAAGCAGTAATATTAAGATAGCCTGGGGAAAACATCAATGTCTTAAAGTTAGAAATGGGAATGGTTCGTAAAACCCTACAGCTTTATCCTGACAATGGATGGTCTTTACCCTGTGTCACCCTAAACTGGTTATAGTGGAAAATAGTTCCACCGCTGCTGAAGCACCACTGCCAATGCTGCACAGGCTGCAGTTGCCCTTCGAACCAGATGTGTGTTTACCATGTGCTATATAACTTCTGGTTCCTTCACCCAACATGCCTAGTCCAGCTTTTTCCCAATCAGTCACATCCTGGGATCCAATGTATAAATCCAACATTGCATGTCCTTGTGCATAACTGTTCTAAAGGATCTTATTTTGTGTACTATATGTATCAGTGGTATAGATTGCCATATAATGTAAAAAAATCTGCATATAAACAATGCAACCAACTATCCAAATGTCATACCAACTAAACCATCAAATAAATAAACCTTGAACAGTGACTACTGTGTTAATTCACTATATTAAGATATGAAGTCATAAAGCTGCTATTTATTCATTACATTATTTGAAAATATTAGGCTAGTCTTGGGCAATCCTGCAATGATTTTTTCTTTTTTAAGAGATGGGGTATCACTCTGTCACACAGGCTGGAGTGCAGTGACACGATCATAGCTCACTGCAGCATTCAACTCCTGGGCTCAAACAATCTTCCTGCCTCAGCCTCCCAAGCAGCTAGGACTATAGGCGCATGCTACCATGCCTGGCTAATTCTTAAATTTTTTGTAGAGATGGGGGTCTTGCTATGTTTCCAAGGTTGGTCTTGAACTCCTGGCCTTAAGCAATCTTGCCTCTGCCTCTGAAAGTGCTGGGATTACAGTCGTGAGCCACCATGTCTAGCCTCTGCAATGCTTTTTACTTTTTTAAAAAAAGTGGTACTATTTAATAGCAGAGGTGTAGCTAGATCAACTGGGTTGTTTTGGTACTACTTCCTTTACAATCAATAATTTTAATATACTTTGCCCCAAAGTATTATGACATACTTCATATTAGTGCTACTCAGAATTGCTCTACAATTCATGTAGGTAAAATTCTATACATGAATGTAAAAAATATTTGCCAACTGAACATAGGCAATTATACTTTGTCACTATAGGGGAAACAAATTTTTGAGATCCTTTGCCCTCTGGAAGCCAGTGACATTGGTACTTAACAATTTAAAACCAAGTAGCCTTAGTGGTTGTCTACTCAAAAGCTTTCT